TAAGATTATACTTATCAACCGGATATCAGAACCTGCTGCACCCCCATGTGCACAATTGAATGATCTCTCAATACTTCCACATCCTCGATCTAGACGACACGTGGTAACAATGGTTGAGCAACCCTAGCCCCCTTATAACCCCTCTGTAGTATCACGAACCATTGGCGCATAGTTGATAACGAGTGCGCAATTTCATACTTGAGTGGATGTAAAAGAACATAAGATATATGCTTCAAGCGGAATAAATGCCGCACGATAAGGAATGAAAGAAGTGAAAATTTTCCTACTAGCTCTATAGCCTCTCGAAGATAAGTACAGACGTCTCTGTACTGATCCACAAGACTCTACTAAACTCGTTCGTGACTCGTAGAACCTATGAACCTAGAGCTTTGATACCAACTTGTCACGACCCAAAATCCGGCCACAGACGTTGTGATGGCACCTAGTCTCTAAGACTAGGTAAGCCAATTTCCATTACATTTCGAAGCCATTTGTTTTAAAACATATAATTAAATACTAATGTCAAAACCAAAAACAAAACAAATATGAATATAACAACCTCCCAAGACTGGTAGTAGTAAGTCACGAACTCTAACTGAGTACATGGAATGATCTCAAGGATCGAATACTCAAAACTGTTTGATTGTTAATTTAACAGTACAATAAAAAGGAAAAGACTACAAGGGAATGCGACGACCCAACAACTCTACCTTGAATTCTTGCGATCGCACTTTGACTCTGCCCGATTCCGATAGCTCCAATACCCGGCTCTGCACAAAACTGTGCAGAAGTGTAGTATGAGTACACCTTAGTCGGTACCCAGTAAGTATCAAGACTAACCTCAGTGGAGTAGAGATGAGGTACCATCAAGACACTCACTAGTCCAATAACCTCTAAAATATAGTATACAAAATAATAGGAAACAAATAACAATAAGGGCAATACAAATCAACCAGTGATATGCCCGACATCACAGCAAGAACACTATTAATATTTCTCAACAAATAACAAGTACACCCAATTAAATCAAGTTCTTCAAATAAATATCTTTCACATATAATTCTTCCAAATAACTCACTTTCAAATATAATTTCCTCAAATAAATATCTTTCAAATATAATTCTTTTAATAAATCTTTTTGAAATATAATTTTGTCAAATAAATATCTTTCAAATACAATTCTTTCAAATACTACTTTTTGAATAAAAATCCTTCCAAATAAATATTTTGAATATAATTCTTTCAATTAAAAGTCACCATGTGACACCTCATTTCATAATCATAAAAATACGGGTATCAACCCTTTTCATATTTTCACGGCACTTCAAGCCCATAATTAAATCATCATATTTCCCCGGCACCTCGTGCCCATATTTCATATTACATCTGCACGGACAGTTCGCGTGCCAATAAGAAAACCATCATATTTTCTCCTGCACTTCGTGCCCACGTTTCATATTTCAACTGCACGAACAATTCACGTGCCAATATTATCATTATTTACTCACGGCACCTCATGCCCAAATTATTTTTCATAATCCGCTTGGAAAGAGCCACAGGTTCCCAATTTCAACATAAATAAGACAATTATCAATTTACCAACAACAAGACAAATTGCACAAGGTATAAAAATAAACACAAGAAAAATCACAACATCACATAAAATCGCCAATGCAACCACTCCACATCATCGCATATCATCCCTGAAAATAGCCACCCTTATTTATCCTATAGCCACCCTTATCACTCCTATAATAGCCTGCCTTATCCCTCCGCCTTGACAATATCAATAGCCACCCTTATCGCTCCGCCCAGACAATATTCCAACATACATACTAATAGTGAAATGCGACCCTTATACCCACATAATATCAATAGTGAAATGCCACCCTTATGTCCTCAAAATAATAACTCAAATAACACCACAATTTAGACGGAATATTATCACGACAACATACAAAATCAATTCATATCACGATTTGTCCAATAGCCACAACCAATTCCAAAGATATAACAAAATTAATTAATTTCATAACAAATAGCCTGAGGCTCTACACAATGTATATAAAATCTCAAAATCAATCAACAGAGATAGAAAATAATCAGCATAGGTCATCGCCTTTATAAATCTAAATTTTGATAATTATATTAACGCTTCTTCTTGGGAAATGAGCAACAAATGAAAGCTATATCCCGTGGAGTCTAGTTTTCAGAAATTCACACCATTCATCATTTGGAGTTTTGTATAAAGCGTTATGACCATTATACTAGAGGCTCTCTGAGAAGAGTTTGAAAATGGCGTTTGAAGTATTTTTTCATTGCGAACACGAGGGGAGTGTCGCGAACGCAAAGAACAAACCCCTGGCCAGCAGAATAAAGTCCAAATTCGTCTCATTCTTCCATTTTTGGACCAAGGAAGCTAGGGTGAGGCGATGTTTCGAGAGGTTTTTAAGGAAAACATTGGGGTAAGAATTTCTAACTTGATTTTGGTTAAATTACATGAATCTATTGTTGTTTTTATCACTAAATTAGTGAATTATGTTGAAACTGGTAGAAATCCTCTAGACTTTAATTTAAGATTTGAAGGGCGATCCGTTATCGGAATTTGATAATTTTGGCATGGTTGAACTCGTATCGGAATGGGTGTTCGGATTTCGTAACAAAATTTGTCAGGTTTCGAGGGGTGGGCCACGCACTGTCTTTTTAGAATAAAATATTAAGTTGGTGTTGTATTATCCGGAGTTGTTTTCGATGAATTTTAATAAAGTTATACAATTAATTTGGATAGATTTGAGCCATCCGGAGGTCAATTCAAGCAAGGAGGCTATTTTAGAATATCGTCCTAACTTCAAAAAGGTACTTGTCTTGCCTAACCTCGAGTGGGAGAATTACCCCTTACGCATCGGGTCTTATGTGCTGTTTGTGAAATGTGAAAAGCCGTATACGCGTGGTGACGAGTACGTACTCGGGCTTATATGTGCAAAATATATTGGGTTAAGTCTTAGGCATATTGTGTAGTAAATTGGATATTTGTTGGCATTTACTAAATCATCTGTTAGCTATGCCTCAATTTGCATTTATTGAATTTGTTTTTATATGACGATTTGATGTGAATGTTACCTGTATATTTATATGAATTCCGTGAGTTTGATGGTTTGATATTCTTGGAATTTACTTCCATTATTTCTATGCAAATAATTAATTAAACAAGCTTAAGAAGAAGCGTTAATATAATTGTCGAAATTTGGATTTATGAAGGCAATGCCCTATGCCGATTATTTTCTATCTCTGTTGATTGGTTTTGAGATTTTATATACATTTTCTGGAGCCTCAGGCTATTTGTTATGAAATTAATTGATTTTGTTATATCTTTGGAATTGGTTGTGGATATGGAGCAAATCGTGATATGAATTGATTTTGTATGTTGCCGTGATAATATTCTTTTTAAATTGTGGTGTTATTTGAGTTATTATTTTGAGGACATAAGGGTGGCATTTCATTGTTGATATTATGTGGGTATAAGGGTGGAATTTCACTGTTGCTATGTGTGTTTGAATATTGTCTGGACGGAGCGATAAGGGTGGCTATAGGAGCGATAATGGTGGCAATAGGAGCGATAAGGGTGGCGATTGATATTGTCAGGGCGGAGGGATAATGGAGGATATTATAGGAGTGATAAGGGTGGCTATTGTCAAGGATGATATGTGATGATGTGGAGTGGTTGTATTGGCGATTTTATGTGATATTGTGATTTTTTTTGTGTTTATTTTTATACCTTGTGTAATTTCTCTTGTTGTTGGTAAATTGATAATAGTCTGATTTAAGTTGAAATTGGGAACTTGTGGCTATTGCCAGGCGGATTATGAAAAGAAATATGGGCATGAGGTGCCGTGAGTAAATAATGATGATATTGGCACATGAATTGTTCGTGCAGTTGAAATATAAAATGTGGGCACGAAGTGCTGGAGAAAATATGATGGTTTTATTATTGGCACGCGAATTGTCCGTGCAGATGTAATATGAAATATTAGAATATCATACGAAGCTATTCCCATCATTGAAATTCCATTCCGCGGTCGTTTTCTCAAAAGTCAACTCTCCGGTCAACTCATTCCATTTAAGCTTCTAAATAAGGATTGTTCTTTTAATTTAATTCTGAATCTTCAGTAAATCAAACTCGACCACACCCGTGGGTCATAATACATATTGCGAAGCTTCTCGAGACCTTAAGTCACTGAACGAGGCGTTAATTCTTTAAGCGACAAGTCGGGTCGTTACAAATTAATGGCTTTACAAGAAGGACTAAATCTTGCAAAAGAGATGAATTTCCCCAAGATGGAAATTGAAACAGATTCCACGGAAATCATCAAATCTTATATGAAGATAACCAATATTTATCTAACACTATTCTTGATTGCTGGTTGTTAATACACCAGCTGAAGCTCCCAACTCTCAGACTTAACTTCAGATAAGGAAATGATGTAGCGCACTTCCTAGAAAAGGAAGCTGTTAAACACTTCATCCCAGCTAAATATTTTTACCTTGCTTGTCCTCCCCCTTTTGTTGATCTTGAATTAAACTGGAACAAGCAAGGAATCAGTAAAAGTATTAAGTATCTTCCTACTTTTGTTTGTAATAGCTTTGCCACTTTAGGCAATAGTAATGTCCTCAGGGATTATGTATTGACTATGTAATCTTATTGTTTAGTAATATAATCTCCATTTTACCTTTCAAAAAAAAAGAAGCTATAAGCCCGAAAGCGAGTTCGTCGAAATAAGTTGTTTTGGCTCAAACCATGTATTTCTTTTATAAAATTTATTTGATATGTACAAATTATAAGTTTAGAACCTAGTGACTTAAAAGAGTTAAATTTTAGAACCCACAAACTTTATATCCTAGCTCCGTCTTTGTCTACTCATGGAATGGCGTATTTGTTAATCATTGAAATAGTGACTGGCATTATTTTAGCAATGCATTACACACCTCATATGGGTCTAGTATTCAACAATGTAGAAAACATTATGTGGATCTAGCTTTCATGGCAGGAGAAAAAGAACAACAAAAAGAGGAAGAAGAGGAGAAATTGCAGAAAATAGTGCAACTAATGAAATATGAACACGTCGTCTACCCCGTGAAAGGTAATTGTACTTGCTAAGGACGTTGTATCTTAATCACACCTTTATATTTAGTTTTTAATAACTCTTAATATCTTTAATAATTCTGTATCTTTTATGGTTCAAATATATACTTATTTAATCAATCATACATCTTCTTCTCCGCCATAAGCCACCACAACCTCCAGCTTATTCCGTCACCAACCAAGTCGATTCTTCTTTAGTTGAAGGCAAATATGATCGAAAAAGTTAATCTACACAGATCTATGATTGAAAGATCCTTCTCCTTTTTGTATGGTTGTTATTGTGGTGGTTTAATGCTCCAACTCTTCCGGACAACCTCTATCTCCTCCTTTTTTTTTCCAGGCTTTCCAGTTCAGATCCGTCGTTTTCAAATCTACTCCAGATCTAAAATGTTTCGAAGAGTATGTCGACTGTACATCAATTGTTGTCAATTATATGTTAATTTGTATATCAATTGTATCTGAATTGTATGTCATGCACATCAATTGTATCACTTATGTATCTCTTGTGTTTTGCTTGTATATCACTTCTTCTTGGTATGCATGATGGTTATGTGTTTTTGGTGGTGGTTTGAAGGTGGGAGGATTGTATGTCCACGATTTTCCATTGTATATACGATGATACATAGGACATACATTGTAGATAAATAGACATACAAGTGGTATATAATGAAATACATCAATTGTGTAACTGTATGACTAGTATATCTGCTTTTTATGTCTAGCGTATCACTATACATATAATAGAGATACACTAGACATATAAATATATACAATGACATACTTTAATTGTAAAAATATATTTGTAATGATCCGACCAATCGTTTTGCTTTCTAGATCAGTATTCCCCATTTAAGACTTTCTGTATATGCTTTTCCTATTTTGTGTCTTGTGAGGACAATTGATTTGGTCTTTGAAAGGTTCGGGTTGAATTTGGAACACTTTAGTTCCTTAATAATCGCCTAAGGTGGCTAAATTTGACTTGAGTCAACAATTTGAGTAAATGATCCCAGAATGGGGATTTGAAGATCCCAATAAGTCTGAATGGTAATTTTGGACTTTGGCGTATGTTCATATTGAGTTTCGGATGGACTGAGAGAGTGTTTCGGCGTTTATTGTCGGAAGTTGGCTTCTTGAAGGTTTTTAAATTTCCTAAGTTTGATTTGAAGTGGACTTCGGTGTTATCAATGTTCGTTAGGGATTTCGAGACTTGGAATAGGTTTGTACAGTGATTAGTGACTTGTGCATAAAATTTGACAATATTCCAAGTTGTCTAAGTATGATTTGCCGCATTCAGAGCTAGTTAGAAGAAGTTTGAAGTTTAGAAGTTGATCAATTGTGTTTTGAGGTGCGATTCTTGGTTTTGATGTTATTGTTTGTGTTATGAGACTTCGATTAGGTCCGTATTGTGGTTATAGACTTGTTGGTATAATTGGACGGGGTCCCTGGAGCTTGGGGGTGTTTCAGGGTGGTTTCAGACCATTTTCCTTCATGTTTGGAATGTTGGTTTACTGGTTTGGCGGGATACTTGATTTTCGCTAAGAATTGTATTTTCTTTTGCATTCCTATTCCTCGTGTTGATCAGTTGTTCGGGAAAGTTTCTCTATTCTTGTGGATCGGGTCGTACGCCTCGGCAGTGTTATAAAATAGAATTATTGATCGGGTCGTATGACCTTAGTAGAATTTGTGCGTGATATTCGATAGGAGTTAGAATACACATGAGTTGTTCCTTCTTGACTTTAGACTTGAAATCTACTGGATTTTTCCTTGTTCGTATGAGATAGCATATAGTATTTTAGTATTTCATATTATTGTTATGTTGAAGGATCATGCCAGTTACAGTTACTTATTTCATCACTACTTGTTGTATTTCATGCATGTCTATTTTCATGTACTTTAATTATTGGACCAGTAGTAAGTGTCGTTGTCGACTCCTTGTCACTACTTCTTAGAGATTATACTGGATACTTACTGGGTACACGTTGATTTATATTTCATACTATACTTCTGCACTAATTGTGCTGGTACTGAGGTAGGTACTTTTGGAGGTCATTCGGGTGCGTAGATGCACTATCCGGAGACTTAGTGGTGAGCTGCTCTCCATGCTTTGATCTACAGCATCCGGAGTCTCCTTCTTTTTATGTTTATCATTTCTGTCTATTTTATTTCAAACAGTAGCTATAGTGATTTTTTATATTCTACTAGATTGATCAAGCACTTGTGATATCTGATTTTGGGGATCTAGTGAATGTTCATGATCGTACTTAATGTTATTATCACTTTGCTTCATGTTTTATTTATACTCTATAACTTGATAAGGAAGAACACTGTCAGTAGAGTTGGTCCAACGGGTTTAAAACGGATGGGGTGGTGCTGTGTTCGAATCCATCATACGCTTGTTCCATTATACTTTCTTATCCTTTAACTCCCTCATTGTTTCTCTCTTCTTTTCTTTCTTTTCTCCTCCTTCTCCTTCTTATTTTTCTTCTCACCCTTTTCGACCTGAGGGTACATTGGAAATAACCTCTCTACCTGCAATAGGTAAGGGTAAGATATGCGTACAGACTACCCTCCCTAGACCCCACCTGTTGGTAATATACTGGATTTGTTGTTGTTGTTGTTGTACTTAATGTAAGTCCTAATTTTTAAAAGTTAAAAATTGGATAATTAAGTTGGAGGTTATCGTTGGCTTGCCTAACGACATCGTTGGGCTCCATCAAGACCTATGGTGGGAATTGAGTCGTGACAGTTTGGTATCAGAGCACTAGGTTCATATAGGTTTCATGAGTCATGAGTATACTTAGTAGAGTCTTGCAGATCGGTGCACAGACATTCATGCTTATCTTCAAGAGGCTATAGGGTGTTCGGAAACTTCTCTTTATTTATCTCATTTCGTATAGTTGATGTTGTGCTAAGTATATTTCTTTTATTCTTTCATAGATGGTGAGAACGCGTGTAATGACATTACCCGGGGGCAGAAGAGCTTCTCCCCCAGTTGTAAGAGGTAGAGGTAGAGGCAGAGGTCGAGGGAGGGCCACAACTCCTGCTAGAGGACGAGGCGTCCTAGAGTTGCTCCAATAGTACCACTAGTAGATCCGATGGAGGATCCTATTATTGAGGAGCAGGATGAGGTACCCACAGTTGAGCCGGCCCCAACAGACTTATGACCATACTGGGATTTCAGGAGGTCATGGGTCGTATGCTGTGGTTCATGAATTCTGTGACTTGGGCTGGACTATTTCCTGCAGATCCGGCCACATCTGAGGCAGGAAGGGAAGCACAGACCCCTACCGCTCACGTGCTAGGGCACATTGCTGCTGTGTATCAAACTATAGTTGCACTGTCTGTGGGCAAGGATCAACCGATTGCAGCGGTTAGAGTAGAGACCAGACCGGTCACAACCGTTGAGGAGCAAAAGCTATTGGATAAATGGACTAGGATTTCATTCTCCTATCATTCGAGGTGAGTAGTCAGAGGACCCACAAGATTTTATTGACCTTTGCAGGGAGAGGCTACATAATATGGGAGTGGTGGATTCCAACGGGGTGGACTTCACCACATTTCAGCTAGAGGGGAAGGCACGTAGATGGTGGCAATCTTATCTCCAAAGTAGGCCAGCAGGTTCACCTCCCTTGACTTGGGATTAGTTCACACATCTCTTCTTGGAGAGGTATATTCCACCCTCACAGAGGGAGGAATTACAGGGTTAGTTTGGGTGGCTCCAACAGGGTCAGATGTGGGTGACTAACTATGCGACGAGATTCTCTGAGTTGTCTCATCATGTAGCTATCATATTCTCCGCATATGCGAAGAGGGTGCAGAGGTTTATTGCTGGCTTGCACTATGGGATTCATGTTTCTATGGCCTGAGAGGAAGATATGGGTACTCCTTACAATCAAGTTATGGAGATTGCTAAGAGGATCGAGCGTATCCCCAACCAGGTCAGAGAGTTCACATCGAGGGATAAGCGACCTTGGCATTTTATGCATTCAGCGGCGCCCCATCTGGGGGAAAAGGTCAAGTTCATGAGGGGCCAGCGTAGAAGGACTATATATTCAGCACCACAGTCTACTCGGGGTGTTCCAGTACAGCCTTACTTCAGCTCCATTCTAGAGAGCACCTACCGTCCGCCACCTATTCATGGCTCTTCCAATAGACACTCAAGATATCTGGGATAGACATAGGGTTAACTATTTTCTACACCGAGAGTTTGCTTCGAGGATGGGGAGTTTGGTCATGTGAGGAGGTTTTGCCCCAGGCTTCAGGGCAAGACAGTATAGCAGGGCTATCGCCCCATGATTATCGCACTAGATGTCGCACCGCCCATCCGACCAGCCAGAGGCGGAGGGCAGGTGGGTAGAGGTTATCGTAGAAGTGGAGGATAGTCAGGTAGTGCTCTGGCTAGATTCTATGCCTTTCCATCCAGACCAGATGCAGTATCCACCGACGCCGTGATCACACGTATCATATATGTCTGCCGTAGGGATACTTCGATACTATTTGATCTAGGGTCTACCTATTCCTATGTCTCCTATCTATTTGCTACTTATTTGGATGTATCTTGTGAGTCCTTAGGTGTTCTTGTATATGTGTCCATGGCAGTGTGTGATTATGTTGTTGTGCATCGGGTTTACCGGTCCTGTATAGTGACTTTCTATGGATATGAGACTAGAGCAGATCTTCTGTTACTCGATATGATTGACTTCAAGGTTATCCTGGGCATGGACTGGTTGTCTTCGTACCATGCCACTCTTGATTGCCATGCCAAGAGTGTTACCTTGGCGATGCTAGAGGTTCCTAGGTTGGAGTGGAGGGGCTCATCTATTATTACATCCAATTGGGCTATCTCTTTCCCGAAGGCTCGACATATGGTCAAGCAGGGTTGTTTGGCCTATCTGGCCTTTGTTCGAGATATTGCTTTAGAGACTCCTATGATAGATTCAGCGCCTCTGGTGCGAAAGTTTTTTGATGTATTTCCTGCTGATCTACCAGCCATGCCGCAAGATCGTGATATCGATTTCGGTATTGATTTGACATGAAGCACCCAACCTATCTCTATTCTGCCTTATCATATGGCTCTGGTTGAGTTGAGAGAGTTGAATGAGCTGCTTCAGGAGTTACTCGAGAAGGGATTCATTAGGTCGCGTGCGCCGCCTTGGGGTGCACCAGTATTATATTTGAAGAAGAAGGATGGGAGTATGCATATATGCATTGGCTACCGCCATCTGAACAGAGTCACAATCAAGAATAAGTATCCATTACTGCACATTGATGATTTCCTTGATCAGCTTCCGGGTGATAGAGTGTTTTCGAAGATTAACTTGAGATATGGGTATCATCAGCTGAGGATTCGTGCTTCAGATAATTCAAAGATGATTTTCTGGACTAGATATGGACACTATGAGTTTCTAGTGATGTCATTCAGCTTGACTAATGCCTCGGAGGCATTTATAGATTTGATGAGTCTGGTGTTCAGGCCATATCTTGACTAATTTGTCATTGTCTTCACTGATAAGATATTG